TAAGTTTTACAAGTGCTGTGCAAACACATGACTACTGAGTTCAAGTTCACCCATCCCTCGACTCCTCAAGCCCCAAACCTAGGAGTCATCCTCAATTATCCCTATACCTCACACTCTGCATTCAACCCATGTGCCTCCAAAATACATCCACTACCAGAACCAGAGTCCCAGACACCTTCACCACTCCCTGGTTCATTCCATCAGCCACACTGGTCTCCCCCCTCCTCTTTTGTCTCCGTGGTCCATCACCCAAGCAGCAGCATAAGTGATTTTTCTCAACCATAAATCACATCCTGTTGCTCCACAGCTGAATTGTCTAGCTGTTCCTCTTCTGTCTCTCCAGAACTACAGGACAAGTTCCACTATGTTGTTCACTACTGCACTCCCAATGTTTAGAACAGCACTAAGCACACAGCAAACTTTCAATAAATGTTTTGGGAACAGGTGGTCCTAAAGGCAATGGTATGCTCCCCTGGTCTTCAAGACAGAGATTTTACTCTCTCTCCCAAATTTGACATTGGAAGTTTGTTTACTCATCCAGCCAATCATTCATTCACTCAATTCAAATTGACAGCTGACTACAGGACATCTGAGAAGACACTACAGTGAACATGAAACCTACATGGTGCTTTACAGAGGCACTTGTAAATTCTGCCAAACAGCAGGTCTCTGCGGCTAACCGCCATCTCAGATTTACAGACAGAGGTGACACGGCATCCCAAAACCGCATGAGAACTCAGTACCCCCAAACCTCAAGGCAAAACCAAAGACCTAAGAAATGTATTTGCAAATTCTCAACTCCTTTTATTTACCATCCACAGCCCTTTACAGAAAAGTAAAATTTTAAACGACAGAAAGTAAATGTGGATTTTCAAGAATTTCACCTCCATTTTCTTTACTTCTAATTTTACTCCCTGGTAGCAGGTATGGTCAAATGATAGAGCACTGTTCTCAGCTTCTGGAGTATTAATGGTACCCTGGGCAACAGGCTGAATCTTTTTTTATTTTTTTATCATTCTCTGAAGAGCATATTTTATTAATCTGCAGTTCTTTAACAGTTAATAATAAAAGCAAGGGATGTAGTATCAATAAGATTGCTGGGCCCAAAGAAAACTCAAAATATTTTAAGGTGAATTAGTTTCTTTTTCATTTATTCCTCTTCCATAACTTGTTCTACGCCTTCTACTTCTGGAATATAAAACTGCAGCATGTTCTGAATTCCATTTTCCAGAGTAATGATTGAACTAGCGCAGCTGGTACAGGAACCTTGGAGCTTCCGCTGTACACCACCATCTTCCAGGCCCTTCTGTGTTACAGCTCCTCCAGCTTCCTGCACAGCGGCTGTATTCCTGTATCTAACAGTTCTTTAATCACTGCCATCATCTTCTTCAGATCCTGCTTCTCCCGAAGATGTTTCCCCAGTGGCTGAGGGTAAGCCAGATGCAAAGAAATCCATGCCTAGTGCATACATATCTGGTTTCAGTAAATTCCAGTCTAACTCATCACTTTCCTTTGTGACAGTGATGAAATCTGGTCCAAAAAAGACACTTTTTACTCCTTCAGTCCTAAATAATTGCCTAGCCAGAGGGGAGCAAAATGCTGTAGCTGATGGAGGAAACCCATGGTCCCTGTCTCAAGAACTGGCTTTCCTGGAATAAATTTCAACCTGTTGGGGTTTGGGGTATCTTGTGTTTGAATAAACATGTGTCTCACTGTGTTATATAAGGTTGCAGATAGTGGGATAAGTGTACAAACTGATGCAGAGACTATTTCTTAATAGTGTATGGATTTATCACATCATATAATCGCCTGCACAATCACCTCCCCGGGCCTCAGCTCCCCATACCAGCCGGGCCGCCGCCGCCATCTTACTGCCAACAGGCTGAATCTTGATGCCAACAGAAAGCAGAATAGTGCAGTGGCTGGGACCTCAGGTTTTGGAACAGAAAGGTGCTAATTCAAATGACATCTGCTAGTGATAAGGCCCTAGACAAGTTTATTTTACTTAACAACACTTACTACATGCAGGCAGAGTTCTAAATACTGTGCAACTATAATATGACTACTGGATCAGTCTTAAGTACTATTACTATCTGTATCTTACAGGTGAAGAAACAGGCATAGAGAGGTACAGTAATGTGCCCAGAGTATTGGAGCCAGCACTCAAATACGGTAGTGTGATGTAAGAATCCATGCTCTTAGCTATTCCATTATGCTTCTGCTCTAATCCTGTTTCTTCATCGATAAGACAGGGCATATAAGTTTGCCTTATCTGACAGGGTCATGTGAGATTACTGGTACACAGTAGGTAAATGTTAGCTAGTGGTACTATAATTGCCGTCATTCTATTATCTACCTTCACCTTTGGTCCAGTCAAAGGCAGAAGAAAAATATTTGGCTGAGAAAGACCTCCAAGGTTCTCTGAAGTAGAATACATTATAATATAGCGGAAACTCCATGAGGACAGGAATTGTCTGCTTTGCTTATCATTGTATCTGAAGCAAGCCATGGAGCTCATATAATGCATCTGTGGTGAATGAGGTAGGACAATATTTAATGTATAGATAAAGTTCTGCAGACATGACAACCAAGGTAGTTCCATCACATCTCCAATGGAGCTAAACACAAAAGAGGAAAATTTGCAAGGTCTCCGAGGACAGTGTTAGCTGGCCATTTGGCCATTACTTCACACAGCCTGGCTATTAGGAGGTAACGTGGCATAATGTTGCTCATTCAGCTTAGTGAACAGACCTGAATTTTAATCCTGACTCTGTCCCTGGAAGTCACTCAGGCTCTCAAGATCTTGGATTTTGTCTATCTGTAGAAGAGGAAGTTGGACTGCATGATGATCATAAACTATCTCATGACTTTATAACAATCATCATAATTTGAATGGGAGCCAAATGACAGATGAAGAAACCAGGATACAGAAGTAACTTGTTCAAGGTCACAGTGTCAGGGTAGACTATAAACTCTAGCCCAGATCTCTTTCTACATTGATCTAACACTCATGCTTTCCAAATCCCTTTTCAGTTAAAAAAAAATATATTGTACTATGACATTAGTCCTTTCTTCTAAGCTCCATAAGTCTGTAACCATTTTTCTTAAATTATCTTTCCAGACTTCACTACATCTTGGGAGATCAGGAGGCAACTACAGCATTTCCACAGTGTTAACCTGGAGAATCAAAAGATCTGACGTGGCAATTGGGGAAAATCCCTTGTCTTTGCCCAGAATTGAGAGGTCAGAAGTATTTTTAAGATGAATTATTTAAACATATGGTTTAAATTTAAGCAAAATGATTAAAAAAAAACACACAAAAAAAACTTCTAGTAGCATAATGCTTGTTGAGGACAGCATGTAACAATTTCTTTTTTAAATCAGAGTTGTGCTACTTGATTTAAGGTAGATCCACAGAGTTAAAAGATTTTCTGAGAACGTTTACAAATACCTGCTTAATTTTTATTAACAAACTATATGCTAGGCATTGAAACATTATGTATACACCTTCCTAGGGCTGTCATGTTAGAAGAGAAAAGCGCTTCTGGCAGTTACAGTAGGTTTTCTAGATGGTTCATAACAGGCAAGTCAAGGTCAAACTGTTGAGTCTCCTTACCCTTTCATCTAGTAGCTGAAAAGCAACTAACTGCAACCTCAAAATACTCCATTCTGGTACTCTCAAAAAATATAAATGTTAGCTCAAAAGTCGCTCTGTGGCTCGGAAAGTTCTGTGAGGACACGCTGACATGAACAAGGAGGACAGAGGGGCTAGAAGCCAGAGGGGCTAGAGGGCAAGAGGCTCAGGGCACTTCGGTGACAGCAGTAACTTTCACCTACTTTCTAGCAATTTCCTTCCTTATCGAATGAGAGTACGATAATCATTTCACCAGATAAGTTTATGACTTAAAATATGATCAGCAATTAAAACAATCTAGCAATGTTGTGCAAACGTAAGAGATTATGGTTATTACTATTTACTACGTCTGGGGACTGAAGACACCTCCACACACACACACACACACACACACACACACACGCTTTCATTCTTGGTCATGTATCCCACAGAATTCTCAGAGATGGAACAGGACACTAGTTTCTCCTCCAGACTCCAGACCTGGCAGCTATGAAGGCACCTAGCTAGCGAGTCCCTGCCGTTGAGAGATGAGAATGTGGCCTTCAAGCTGTGGGCCTAGCGGGCTCAACGGCGCCCGTACCCCCCAGTCACCTTGTCCTCACCTTGAGGGACAGAAGGAAACCCTACGGGGAAAGAGAGTGCCGTCCTCAACAAGAAGTGTCCTTATCCTTTACCCGGCCGCCACGACTTCCACCCACACTTCCCGCGGGGCGGGGGCAGGGCTGGAGCGCTGACGGAGCGGGGACGCCCTGACCTCGGGCACTGGAGCACCCGGCCGCGCGGGCCCACGGCCGTGACAGGTAAACAAAACGTCACCGCCAGCCGGGCCTGCCAGGTACCGCCGCGCCCACAGCCGCAGGCAGGCGGGAAGGCACTCCGCCCCCGTGAACCCAGGGGGCCCCGAGCTCGCTCACCTGCAGCCGGGTCACCAGGAGGCTGTAAGGCGCCATTTTGTGCACTGACAAAGATGAGGTCGCGTGAAAGTGACGTGCCACGCGGCGAATTTAAAGGCTCCGGACGGGGGGCGTGGCCTGAGGCAAGAGGCGTCACGGAGGAGGCGGGGCTTCCAGCGGCTCCAGAGCCCGCGAGCCCAGGGGGCGGGGCTCCCGTGTGAGCAACCAACGGAAAGAGGGAAAAAAACACGTAACTACATTTGTAGAAGGAAACACCCCACAAAGACGTCTTATCGAAGGGCAAACTACTTATTTGTACTTCCGGTTGACTCTCCCATCCAAATCGGGCAAAGACATTTTGTTAAGGACTCACAGGCCTGCCGGGACTTGGCTCCCCCGCTACAAAGGAAACCAGCGTTTGGAACGTAGGGCTTAGATCTCGCGAGAATGAGCGGGGCTTGGTGCAAATCTTGCGAACGCAGACGTAAGCCTGGAGGACCAATCACGGCGACCAGGAGGCAGGAACAATGGGGGTTAAAGGTCAGGCGGAAGTTCCCGGAGTTTCCGGTGGCCGGCTGGAGCGTGAACTATGGCTAAACACCATCCGGACTTGATTTTTTGTCGCAAGCAGGCTGGTGTTGGTGAGACAGCTTCCATGGCCGCGGCCCCCTGGGTGGGGGCAGTGTTAGGAGTTGGGGAGTCAGGGTTCCATCTCTCCCCAAGGTCGTGCCTCGGAGGCGCCACGTTTCCCGCCTTCGGCGGGTAGCGTAGGAGCGCGCAGGTTTTTGGCCTCCAAGGAAAAGAAGGCGGGGAAGCGCGTGCGGGGCGCCGGGGGCGGGCGGCCCGGGGGGGTCTGGAGAAACTCCTGGTCCAGGGCCTGGGAGGGGCTTCAGGAAGGTGTGGCTTTGGGAAATGTGAGGCTGAGGTGGATGAAGTCGCTCTTTGCAGTCCCTGCTTCTGTTCCCACCCCAAACTCGAGGATGTTTTTCTACTCTTCGTCAGAATCTTGATTCTAATTGTACTCTTTACCATCTTTGATCTTGCAGCCATCGGAAGACTCTGTGAAAAATGTAAGTGGAAGACGCCCTCCCACACGCCCCACCCTTCGCACTCAGTTTCTGTGGAGCCACAAGAGGGCTTTAGGTAGATGTGCCTGGAAGCATGTGAACACTGAAGGGCGGACTGCAACCAAGGCCGCCTCCACCTCCCTACTCCACCTTCCACATTTTAGACGCCGAGTTTAGGCTTTGAGAAAATCTGTAGCTTTGAATAGGAAGTGGCTTGACCCCCATCTCCAACACACAGTTTTTGCCAATAATTTATATGGACTTCCATCTACCAGATGCTCTTCTCAGCTCTTTAGTTGTTACTTACCGGTATTAACTTTTTCCTATATGTTGTGGGGATTGAGATGAACACTAAGTCAGGTTTTGTAATGCCAAAGTAGAAGGCCCTAAAGTCACTGTCTACGCCGTAGACTCTAAGGAGACTGGTGTTTTTCCCCATAACAGGAGGAGGGCGAGGAATTGCAAGTGGACATAACTCCGTTCTCTTTTCCTCACAGGTGACGGCAAGTGTGTGATCTGTGACTCCTATGTGCGTCCCTGCACCCTGGTGCGCATATGTGATGAGTGTAACTACGGCTCCTATCAGGGGCGCTGTGTGATCTGTGGAGGCCCGGGAGTCTCAGACGCCTATTATTGTAAGGAGTGCACCATCCAGGAGAAGGATGTGAGTGGATTCTAAGTTTTGCATCTGATCTTATATCTAAAAGCACTTTGCCACTTGGCCAGTGTGGCTCAGTTGGTTGATCTTCATCCAGTGCACCAGGAGGTCTCTGGTTTGATTTTTGGTCAGGGCAGTGCCTAGGTTACTGCTCAGTTCCCAGTAGGGGGCGTGCTGGAGGCAGACTATGAATATTTTTCTCTCTCCCTCTCCCTGAAATCAGTAAAGACATTAAAAAATAAAACTTTGCCAACCATGGCAAACTTCTACAGTCTGCTGAGATTACTATGTTCAGCTAGTCACCTAGGCTATAATTTCTTCAAATTCTGTGAGCCAACTGGGTGTAGTCCGATAAAAGGCAGTTATTTTCCATCAAGGGTAAAAATGCAAGAGAAGCAAATGTTTGTCAACACCAGCAATTTGGAAGAGCCCTCGCTCTATTCCTTTGATGTCTCTGATTATTTTTATTCAGGAACAACACCCTGCATTTTGTAAGTCCTAGCAGAGTGCATGGCGTGTAATAGCCACTCAGTAATTCTCTTTACTATCATTAAGGACTGCTTGGGTGGAGGTAGTGACATTTGAATTGGGGACAATTCAAGTTGATTTCAGCTTTACGAGGTTAAAGAATTTCTTTGGTTTGATAATGTGGAAATGTGATTCTGTTTTGGCCCTTGACATTGTGTGGTGGCAGAGGCTAGCTATTTTAACTCCTTGGATCAAATGCAAGATAGAGGGCTTATAGATCTATAGTAAGGGTGAGTTTTACAGGTTTTTTTTTTCTTTGTTAATCCTCACCTGAGGATTTTTTCCATTGATTTTTAGAGAGTGGAAGAGGGAGAGCTAGAGAGAAACGTTGATGTGAGAGACACATTGGGCATTGGGGATCAAACCTGCAACCCAGATAACTTGCCTTTGAGCGGGAATTGAACCCAAGAACACCCCCCCCGCACTCCCTTACCATTCTCCATGTTCAGCCCAATGCTCTAACCACTTGGCAACCAGCCAGGGTTAGTTTTACTGATTTTCTTTAGCAGACTTCTTGGGAAGGAAATTCCAGGAATCTGCTTATTTTCTTATGAGAGAATAAAAGGAAGTGTGATACAATAGGCTAATAGAAGGTATCTGGTTACCTAACCTAGGGTAAAGCAAAAATATGTATAATTCTTAATATTCCCATGAGCAAAGAGTAGTTTATAGATGTTTTCTCCCTTATTCACAATAGCTTTATTAAATAGGAATTATTATCCCCACTTTACAGTCCCTCAACCATCTAATAAGGGGCAAACCCAGACCATCTGACTAAACTTTGTAGCGTCCCCATTACCCAGGCTGTCCTTTTGTAAGTCTTTTCAGTAGGATGTGCCTGTGTTGAGGAGAAACAACCTTGCCACTTCATCAGTCTTGGTATGTAGATCCTGTCTACCCCAGTAAGTGTGACATGTCAGGCCAGATAAGACTGTTTATTACTTAATTAAGTCTTCTATTATTTAGGGAGATAGGAAGGGTCATTGATAAAAGATGACAAAAGTAATTCCATAAGTGCCTTTGGCTGTCACATCAGGTCCTAGTGCTCTGACCCACCACCTAGGCTCCACTCCTTTAGCGAAAGGACCTTGGCTGTGTATTTGTATCTCATTTTGCCCACTTCTTGGTACAGTGCCTGCCAGTAAGGGTGGGGCACATTTTTGGTGCTATCCCTATAAGTCATCCATAGGTGTTCCCCTACAGATTGGTACATAGTAGGCAATGGGTAATTATAGTTTACAAGTAGTGAAACCATGTTATGACAACAGCAGTGAAGAGGAAAGTACAAATCATCTTAAACTAGCTAAAGATTCCATCATTTTCTTGAAATTTTTTATGGTGTTGCTAGAGTGGTTGGCATAAACTTGCAACCAGAGAGTGCTGAGTCAATGTAAATTGCTGTGACTCACCTGCACATGGTGTGTGACCTGATACCTTTGAGTTCTCAGGCCTCATTCTGTCCCTGAGCATTATCCTAGACGTCACTTCCCTGCTCCACATTATACAGGAATGTTCTGGGGATACCTGAGATGACGCCCAGCTCACATTGTTTCCAAGGAGCCCAAAGCAGCCGAGTGACACGATCCAGCCTCTCAGCCTTACAGATCGCCATGTAGATTAAGTGCCCAAGACTTTCCTATACAGAAATTTTCCCACAACCCAAGGAGAAAGTTAAATTTAATCCTCATTATAGTTCTCTTTATGCACCTTGCATCATTTTTAAGGGAGTTACACCAATAAACTGAGCTGGGTGTTCTATCTAATTTTTCAAAGCTTCAAGAATGCTCAGGAGTCAGGGATAGCAGCTGTGGGTGTTGCTGTCAGAGTAATTTGTAGTTTCTCCTAATAGAGTATCGTCTTGATTCCCCTCCTTTCACTGACCATTTTCTCAGCTGTCCCAACCAGAAAACAAAATAGCTCATATTTATGGTGTGCTTGCTATGTGCCAGGTACAGTGCATAACATTTTTAAATACTTTTTAAAAATTTATCTTTATTATTGAAAGTATTATAGATGCCCCCTTTGTTGTTGGTTCTTTTTTTTTGCTGAACATTTTCTCCCCAAAAATTCTGTGTGATATAGATGAGGAAATTAAGGGTTAGAAGTATTAGGCAACTTGGCTCAAGGTCTGTCTAACTCAGTATTTCTCAACTATTTTTTTCCCCCATTATTGCGCTCCCCCAGGAGAAAAGTTAAAATTTAAATTAAATGTTCCCCTTAACAAGAGGAATTAAGTATAAGGAATACGATTTTTGTTGTATAAGGAGGAGCTTTAGGTCATAAACCACTGTAATGGCAAAGATGTTTTTGTCCCCTTTGAGGATGCACGGTCTAACTCAAAGCACTTCCCTGCACCATCTCGCTGCATTGTTCTTGGGGCAGTTAAGGATGCCTTTCACTCATGCTATTTCTACCATTTTCTTCTCCCCATTTCCATGAACATCAGAGCAGTTAAAAGTTGCCTTTTCCTTTATTTCAGTTCTGTACATCTCTCCCTTTGGTGTGTTATATTTTGGTACATGATTAGTGTTAGTTTTAAAGTTTTACTTGAAAGTCCTGGCTGAGTTTTCATCACTGGTACAGGGTAATTTTTGTAGCTTGCTTTCCTGCCGTAGAAATAGATTTGAGCTCTCGCCGGTTTAACTCAGTGGATAGAGTCGACCTGCGGACTGAAGGGTTTGGCTTAGTGGATAGAGCATCAGCCTGCGGACTGATGTTTCTCTCTCATCGATGTTTCTTTCTTTTTTCTTTTTTTCTTCTTCTTTTTTTCTGTCTAGAGTTTGTCCTTGTGATTTATTAATAGTCATCGCAAATTCTTGCATCATGGGAAACTGTCTTGGAATTAATTTAAATGGGAGGCTAGTGTTAGACGGGGACAAATCAATTCTTGGAATCAGAACAACCTTTCCTTCAGCAGATCCTGTTAATAGTTCAGCTTCAATAATGTTAGGTTGCAATCTTTTGATAATAAATCTGGTACCATTACAAAGATCTTTCTTTTTTTTAGATATATTTTATTGATTTTTTACAGAGAGGAAGGGAGAGAGGTAGAGTTAGAAACATTGATCAGCTGCCTCCTGCACACCCCCTACTGGGGATGTACCTGCAGTCAAGGCACATACCTTGACTAGAATCGAACCTGGGACCTTTCAGTCCACAGGCCAACGCTCTATCCACTGAGCCAAACCGGTTTCAGCTCTCATTGATGTTTCTAACTCTCTATTCTTCTCCCTTCCTCTCTGTAAAAAAATCAATAAAATATATTAAAAATATATATGTAGTCCTATCTTCATAAAATATCTAAGGGGTGTGTGTGTGTGTGTGTGTGTGTGTTTGGCAACTTCTTATAACTTACTAAGAGTTGACTATATGCCGGGCATTGTTCTAAGTGTATTTACTGATTCTTGATTCTAGGGGGTAGGTTTTACCATTGCAATAATTTTATGTACTAAACAGAGTTTTATATTTGACTAAACAGGGAGGTCAATAACTTAACAAAATTCAGGTAGCCTCGCTCCAGAAACCGCCTTAACCTAGGCTCTGAGTGAGAATGGAACTGCACACATTGGTGTGGCGCCTCTCGGACTAGCGCTAGATAAGTACAAGTTTGTTAACGTTAACCAGTCTCCTTATTTTGCAGTTGAGGAATATGAGTCCAAAAGAAGTGGCTTGCCCGTAGTTACACAAATCAGTGTGGCACAATAAGCCTAAACAGGTTATCGTCATTCCACAAATAGCCTCTCTCAAGGTCCCAGAGCACTGTGGTGTTTTAATGTGAGGCTCCTTTTAGCCAGGAAAAGGCTGCAGCCCCTCATCTGTATGAGAACTTGCAATACAGAGGACATAGCTTACTGAGCTCATCCAGCAAACCATTGATGGGGCTGGGCACCAAACTCCATAGATGGCAGTTCTCAATGTAATGCATGGTATATATTTTCTAGAAAATAACGAAATGTTAGTGTTGGCTTTGTGTGTTTTCAGATATTTTTGTAGTGTTGATATTAGTCCCTGGAAAAAGAAATCAGCTGGATTAGAAATGAGATGTCTAAGGACCTCATTGATTCATTTTGTAGCCCAATGTCACAGGAAGCAACAACCTTTGACATGGATAAAATAAAATCATCAAATCTGTGAAGGTTTTTTCCAGGAGCAACTCCCCCAGTTTTCCTCCCATCATTCCAGATCAACTAATGGAGTCATCACTGCTGCAGAGCTCAGCTTCCAGGGGCTTTGCTGAAACCACTCAGGCTCACAAAATGCCCAGGGGGCATGTCATTACCAATCAGAGCAGGGGCTGTCGGCACCAGTATTCTGTGATGTTTAAAAGGAAGGTATTATTTCCTAATAGGCTTTAGACTTTTTTTTTCCTTGGTGGTATTCTTTTTTTAATGTTTTTATTGATTTTTATAGAGAGAGGAAGAGTGATAGATAGAAACATCGATGATGACAGAGAATCATTGATCAATCGGCTGATTTCTGAAGCCCGCAACCTGGGCATATACCCTGACTGGGAGTCAAACTAGTGACCTCTTGGGTTCATGGGTCGATGCTCAATCACTGAACCACATCAGCTGGTCATATTCACTCTTTTTTGGGGGGATAGTGGACGAGAACCAGAGAGCTTGTTCTGTACGTGATTATTCCTTATGTTTCACTAGAAGAAAACCCTTTGGACATTTTAAGAGTTTTAGATTCTACCTCAACTATATCATAGATTTAACTACAGAAGTGGTCTAAGAACCCACCATTGTAAATGCAGACCACTAGATTGAGGGTAGACAGGCCCTGTCACATTCTAGGTGCTTAGTAAGTTCTTGACAATTGATCGAATAGGGTAACTAAAATAGCAAAATGAATGGCTGAACCACTAATCCAAAAGTTATTTTTATGTTAAATCCCTCTCAAAATAGGACTTTTAATAATTTCTCTATTCTTCTGTTTTCCAGAGAGATGGTTGCCCAAAGATTGTCAATTTGGGGAGCTCTAAGACAGATCTCTTCTATGAACGAAAAAAATACGGCTTCAAGAAGAGGTGATTGGTGGGTGACCTCTTTCTCCCCTCGTCAAGCTGCTGCCGCTGCCAGAAAAGACGCCTACGACTGCCAACAGAAAGGGAGTGGGTGCAGCACATCGCCCGAATCGCCTGTTAGCGCGCTGGCACCTCCACCCTGCCCTCTCCTCTCACCCAGATCAGGTGGTAGAAAGGGAAAAGGATTCTTCACAGGGAGCTTGGCAGACTAAATCAGAAAAAAATGGTAGATTAGGTCATGGTTTTTCTTGAATTCAAGAAGCAAGACTTTCCACATTGACAAGTTCTCTCTACACTGAGCGCTTCTAAACAGAAATATCATTTCAGCGATCTTTTGACTATGAAACGACCCGTGATCTTACAGCAGCTCTGATGGCAGTTGTCTTTGATGAAACATTGGCAGTGGGGTAGGAAGCTCTTGGAACGATAAATTTGGGCATTTAATCTTGTAACACCAGCCAGGTGGTGCTGGTTCATGTTTTAAGAAATTGGAAACCCTTTCTGTTGCTGTTGTATTAATAAAGTAGGTGTTTATTTTCTGGTAGCTGATCACCATCCAACTTAAGTTTAACTCTTGGAATTTATTTTAGTCACCCAGGAATCTGTGATTCAGAGTAGAAGTGTTGGGATTCATTGAGCACCTCATGATCTTACTACTACTTGAAGAAATTCAAAACTATTCATGCCTTTCATTATAGGTGAACCAAAGTCATTTTTAGAAACTGTTTTTTCTTCCTATCCAACTTTAATTTTGAACTGAATAGCTTCCAATGATGGGGAAGGGAATGTGACAAAATGTGTTCAAATTGATGCGTTAGGAGAACTGAACTTAGTGGATTTGTTTCATGAAATGCATATATACTCACATTAAGGATTTTTTTTAAAAAAACAACATATAAAATAATAACAGGCTAAGGGCAGATTCAGATACACTTGACCTAACTCAGCTGTCTGGACTCTGTCCCACTAGAGATGATAAGCAAGTTGCCCTGAGGAGGCACATTCATAATTTGCAACCTCTAGTCAAGCAGGCCTTTGGACACCCCTGATCGGGAAAAGGTTGCACGACCAGAGGTAGTGCTACAAGATGGTGGCAAAGTCAAGGAAGGAAATGAATCTTCTGACTTCTTTGGTTTGGATTAACAAAAAACTCTGATTTGTGATATATTGAGCGTCCAAAATTAAGATAATCTCTGCCTTCAAGAATTTAATAAAGGAGCCTGCCAGAAACAGTTCTAGTATAATCCCCCGGATGCACAAAGGAAGGGTTCTTAGCACGGCTTGGGGGCATGTCGGGAAAGCTAGGGGAAGGTCATGGTCACAGGGCTAAAGGTAATCTTTAAGGCTTCCCGTCTGGTCCCTTGCCATCTCACCTGTTCCCTGCACTCTAGCCACGGGCTCCTTTCGGCTCCTGAAGCTGCTGCTCTTCCCTCCTCAGTGCTGTTCATCCCTCTCCAGTGCTCGCTCAGTCTTGCTCAGCGAACTCTTCATCCTTCAGACTTCAGCTAAATATTTCCTCAAAGATGCCTCTGGACCCCAAATCTAAGTCCATTCACCTTATACTTCTCCATAGCACCGTACGCATTTTGTTCATAGCATTTGGTAACCATTGACTGTACTAGGCTGTGTTCTGTGGTGCCAAGAACCAACTCTCGGTCTGCACAGCAGGTAGCTCCATATTGAGTAAATAATAGAAGAACCTAGATAGTAAATTGAGCTTTGAAACATGTTGGAACCTAAAGGGAAAAGGGGGGGAGGGGGGCAGATGAGGCCTTTGTGGGTGGGGCAGACAATCTGGGATGATGTGTGTGGGGAGCTCTCTAAGCAGTTTTAAGCATCAGGTGTGGGTTGTTATAGTATGTAAAGTGGCAAAGAACAGATAATTTTCAGGTTATAATTATAATGTGTCATTGGTTCTATAGTAATTTTTGTTTTAATATATGAGTCAAATGTTTGACTTATTAACCACCCTGGTCCACATAATATCTTACATCTTCAAATACTTCCAAAGCTACTCCTTAATTTTAACAAACCACCACCTTAAGTGGGCTGTCAGTCTGGGTGTGAGTGCCTGTAAAAGGTCTTACAAGGAAACTTAAGATTAATGCCCAGGAGAATATCAGGGCATACCCACTCCACCCTGGTCACCAATGGGGCAAGTTCAACTTTAGCCCAGCTAATGCCTCTGAACTCCACTCCTCTTTCACCTCATTTCATAATCCTATCCTCGTTTTGTTTCTCAGATACTGGGTTAAAAATACCTGAGATAAAGTAAATGGTTTTGATTTTATTTTAAATGTTTTTATTGATTTCAGAGAGTGGAAGGGGAAGAGAAAGAAACATCAATGATGAAAATCATCAATTGGCTGCCTCAGGCACCATCCCCTAATAAGGACTGAGCCCACAACTCAGACATATGCCCTGACTGGGAATTGAACCGTGACCTCCTGGTTCATGGTTCGATGCTCAACCACTGAGCCACACCAACCTGGTTTGATTTTAATTAATTTTTGTCTACCTTGGACTTGAGGAATTTTTTTTTTCAATTATAAAAATTAGCATAATGATAGTACCAAATTCTCTGTGGGAAAACATGGCTTACAAGTTGAATTTTAACCTCTAACAGTATACAGTTCTGTGAAGAGAATTAGAATAATGACCTGTGTATGGCCACAAAAAATAAGAATGGTCTTCAATCTTATTAATATTCAGTCCTAGGTTCTAGAAAGGATGGGTGTCTTCCAGTTTCTCAAATACACAGTACACATATTTAAACATTGCATTTATTACATTGTTCTTGCTCCCAAAAAAAGTGAACCTAGGCCCCACCCCTCCCCCCAGGGAAAAAAAAAGTGTTATGAGAAGCATGTGGGCTTTATAATCAGACCTTGATTTCTGCTATGCTATTGACCTTTAGTGAGTCATTTAGCCTTTCTGTGCTTTTTTCTTATCAGCTAAGGCTAATAATGCCTACCTTTTTGGGTCATAGGGTTAAACTCGACCTTGTACGAGCCTGACCTTTACTGGGAAGGCTTTACATACTAGTGAGCGGTGGTTCTTTTATAGTGAGTGGGTCTCCGCTTCTCCCCAGAGAAACATATAAGTCCTGGCACTGAAGGTCCTCCAAATGGTTCCCTCTCTTCCCTAGGTTTTCCTCTGCTTCTGCCTGTGCTCTTCATTAGGCAGCTGAAGGGACATTCCTTGCACACTCCCTGTTATCTTGGCGCTGTTTTCCTTTGACCTAAGCCAGCCACCTTCACATCAGCCAGCCAACTGGGTACCTCTTCCTTCTAAGCTCCCAACATGTCATGGATACTTCCAGACACTCTACCCCACAACAATCTCTCACTTGGACTCTTCATGCCTAGTACATACATTTAACAAAAATTTCATGAAATAATATTTACTGTGTGTATTGCACTCCAGAACTTCCATTTTTTCTAAAGATTCAGGCTGAAATCCATTAAACCCAAGTCATTTCATTACCCCAATAATGTGTCATGACCCAGAGTTTAAAAACAATGAATTCAACCCTTGAGCTCCTTTTGCTCTCCATCCACTGCAGAGCACATACCAGGCAGCCAGGCAGACTATTACACTGAGCTGGGAAGGGGGTCACAGACTCAAGAGTCGGGGTGAAGAATATAATTGATTGAAAGGGGTGGATAAGAAAAATAACCAAACATCATGATAATTGTTATATGACCTTTGGCCTCCCTTCTGGGAGACAATAGCGACGGGAGCCTTGAGAGAATCCGGAGAGCAGGCCCTGATGTAAAGGAGAGAGCGAGCTGCCATCCCATTCCAATTGCCAGGAGGAATGCCCAGTGTTGCCAGATCTTTTGAATCAAGGACAAGTGGCTAATTAAAATCTGTGTGCAGTCTTCCAATTTTTAAATGTCAACTCATTCAAATACTTTGAGTGTGTTCGTCTGTGCCAGGCCAATACATGCACCAGATGTGGACGCTTGGCCTGCCAATTAGCAGCTTTTACGTTAAGAAGATTAACTTCTCAGGGAATCAAACTGAACTGACTACATTTCCGAGAGACTCACTCTGTTCAGACCTGCAGCTGTTTAATAGCAGTTTGAAGCTACAATGTAAAGGTGAAAGATTCTTTGCCTTGGTTGGAATTTTCCTGCCTAAAAAAAAGATTCCAATTCCCATCTTTTTCCCAGTTTTTCAGTTTCTTATCAACTCTATCCCAAATGCCCATTTGCCACCACCAACACTGAAACGCAGTTACTTTATTAAAATACTGCAGTTTTAGCTCTGGCAGGTTGGCTCAGTGGATTGAGCGTCCACCTGTGGACTCAAGGGTCCCAGGTTCTATTCCGTTCAAGGGCACATGACCCTGTTAGGCTTAATCCCCAGTAGGGGGTGTGCAGGAGGCAGCCAATCAATGATTCTGATTATTGATATTTCTAACTCCTCTGAAATCCATAATGATACATTTTTTAAAATAAAATACTGCAGTTTCAGTCTTAGCAAAAGGTAGGGTTGTTGCTCTAGCGGTTTGGCTTAGTGGATAGAGCCTCTGCCTGAGGACTGAAGGGGTCCCGGGTTTGATTCAGGTCAAGGGCACATATTTGGTTGCAGGCTCTTCCCTGGCCAGGGCCCTGGTTGGAGCATGTGCAGGAGACAACCAATGTGTTTCTCTCATATCAATATTTCTGTCTTTCCCTCTCCTACTCTCTCAAAATCAATGGGAAAATATCCTTAGGTGAGGATTAAAAAAAAAAGGGGGGGGGGAGGTCACTTGTTACCAGAATTCACTCACATTGGTTGTGATAAATGAACAGCAAGTCATTTGCCCTGCATCCAATCACTCCCAGGCCAGTTTCAGCGGTGGCTTTCTTTGCTCCTGCCCTGGGGGCAGTGGGTCTGAAGAAAGGGGGGGCGGGGGGGACCTGCAAAATTCCTCACCTTGCCATGTGTCTATGAGTGACTCACCTGGAGAGTTAATGGGCACCAATGACCAGCCTGACTTATCAGAACAAAACCGCACAGTCTGCTTACTCTTAGAGGGGCTGCCCGCCTCTCCCCTCCGCACATTGCTTCTGAAGCTCGCATGGTGTGTGCTTTTCAGGGAATGATTATTCAACACGGGAAGGGATGGGAGTGCTTGAGTTAGGGATTCAGCTCACAAGCCCTAGCAAGATGAAGTCATGCTGGGTAGAGAAAAACGTCCTCCTCACCACATCACAAATGGAAACATCAGCAGTTAGGATTCCCTGTTTTCTTTTCCTTTTTACATGCTAACCCTTTATCCAGGGTTCCATTTGCGGAGGAGGCTGGGTTTCTGAGTTTGTTTTTGTTATACTGCTCAGGGCTGCTGTTCCCAGCAGTGCAGGAGAGCGTCGAATAAAAACATGAACAAAATTCAGAGCCTTCCTTTCTGAGATCAGTGCCCTCGCTCAGCCTGCACTGAATGGTAGTCTTCTCTCCTTTATCTGCTTGTATGTACGCCCCCCACCCCCTTCCTGAGATACCCTTGGAGAATTCCTTTCAGCTCACCCTCACCTCTCTCATTATTTTATCTTGTAAGGTTTCTTACTGGGAAATGCCCACTGAACTGAGCACAGTGTAACTTGGCCAGAATGGTCACCTTTAAGAATAGCAACTATTTGAGCCAGACTTTACGTATGATCTACATTTTAAAGATGAGAAAACAGGTTTGATGATGTAAAGAAATTTGTTAAGTCAAGATAGCATGGTTGGTGGCGGAACTGGGATTCCAACCCTGCCATCTCCATTGCTGCCTCTAACAAATGACTACAGATACCAGCATCCCTCGCTAAGCCCCGCTCTCAAATGGGCCTCTCCCCAGGGCTGTTTCTGGGCTCCGGGTCTCCAACCTCCGTGACAGCGGTTGGCTCGAACATCCAATTAGATGCCGCCTCTACCTCACCCGACCAATGGGGAGGCTGTTGCTACCACCAGTTATATTTTTAGCTATTCGGTTCTCCGGAACCCCGTGGTGGGCGGGGCCTCTCCGGAGAGGACGGGGGGAGGTGGGAGGGGGGAGGAGAGGAAAGGGGGAAAGGCAGGGGGAAGGAGTGAGGTGGAGGGAGGAGAGGAAGGGGGGGGGAGAGGGAGTAAAAGGGAGGAGGAAGGAGTGAGGCGGAGGGGAAGGGGGGGAGGGGAGGGGAGGGGGGAGAGGAACGAGGAAAAGGGAGGGGGAAGGAGTGAGGCGGAGGGGGAGGAGGGGAAGGGGGAGAGGAACGGGGGAAAGGGAGGGGGAAGGAGTGAGGGGGAGGGGGAGGAGGGGAGGGGAGGGGGTAAAGGGAGGGGGAAAGAGGGGGAGGGGAGGGGGGAGGGGGTAAAGAGAGGGGGAAGGAGTGAGGGGGAGGGGGAGGAGAGGAGGGGGAGGGGGTAAAGGGAGGGGGAAGGAGTGAGGTGAGGGGGAGGGGAGGGGAGGGGAGGGGGGAGAGGAACGGGGAAAGGGAGGGGAGGAGGGAGGCGGCCGAGGGGCGTGTGTGACGCTCAGCCTCGCTGACGCACGAGGCAAGTAGTCCCTGGAGGAGCCCCAAGCCGAAGCGCCCGGTGCGGGGGAGGGCCCGCGCACGGCCCGCGCCGCCGCCGCCGCGGAGTCTGCCCCCCGGTCCGGGGCTCTCGGCTGCGGCCCGGGAAGCCCATGTAAAGCCACACGCGACTGTGCTCCCCGCCCTGCCAACAGGATGGTCAGGGAAAACACGCCGGCTGTTCGCGGCTGGAGGTTTCTGGGTCTCAGCACCCCGTGCGCTCGGCGGCCAGGCTGGAGCGTCTGATGAGAACAAAGGTCGGGCCGAAACCGGTTGGGCTCAGTGGATAGAACCTCAGCCTGCGGACTGAAAGGTCCCGGGTTCGATTCCGGTCAAGGGCATGTACCTTGGTTGCGGGCACATCCCCAGTGGGGGGTGTGCAAGAGGCAGCTGATCGATGATTCTCTCATCGGTGTTTCTAGCTCTCCCTCTCCCTTCCTCTCTGTAAAAAATCAATAAAATATATTTTAAAAAAATTAAGGTCGGGCGGGAGCGAACGGGACCGGCGCTGAGAGGGAGGACCGGGGAGACCCGCCGCCCCGGGAGCCAGCCGCCAGCACAGGCCTCCCCCTCACCCCGCGCCGGGAGTCAGAGGCCGGGCTCCACATCGGAGGCGGCTTCGCGGCGGCCCGCGGGGGCCCGGCCGGGAGAGCGGGCGTCCGCGGAGGGGCCGGGCTCGCCGCGAGGTACCGGGCGCCGGAGACAGGCGGCTCCTTTCCCGCCGCCCGGCTCCCCTCGCCTCCGCCTCCCGCTCAGCGGCCCGCCCGGGCCTCGCCCCGGTGGGCGGCACGGCGTCCTCTGAGGCCGCACGGGGCTCGGGGAGGCGGGCTCACCCGGTGGTAAAGGCCCGAAACGCCCTCTCCCGTCCCGCCGCCGCTCCGAGCCGGGGCCAGGGCCGCGGGGCGGCCGGTCGCCCGGAGCTGGAAGGACGCGCCGAGGCGGCCGGGGGCCAGTGTGGGGCCGCAGACACAGCCGTGCGCCCCGCAGAGTCCCTCCCAGCACCCCAATGGCAGCCCGGCCCCGGTCCCGCCCAGGACTCTGCCTTCCAGGTCCGTGTCCACCGGGGACACAGCCATGGCGGGGAGACTCGATGGTGCGGGGCCTGAGGGCCGGGTGGGGGCGCCGGTGCTCGGGGCCGCAGTCCGCCCGCCGGTCCGGCCGCCGCCGCCGCCGCCGGAAGTAGTCCCGGCCGCCCCGCCCCGGGCCGCAGCGCGCAGGGCGGGGCGGATCCGTGCGCGGGTTGCTAAGGTGAAACTTTTCATTGACTTTCTCACTTCGGGCCGGGGCGCGGGAGGTGCGGGTCGTCGGCGGAGGCGAGGGAGTGGCTCGCAGACGCGGGGCCAGAAGGGCAGGGCCGCCCGCCGGACCGTCCTCCACCCCGCGACGCAGGCCGCCCCCGGGCCGCCATCCCCGCGCCGTCGCCGCCGGCCGGCCCGCCCGCCCGCCTCGGTCCCCGCCGCCGAGCCCGGCCTCCGGGAGCCGCGGCCGCGGCCCGGCGGAGGGAGGACACCGCGGAGAGCAGAGGAGAGCGGTCTCCGCCCGCGCCAGGGCCGCTCTGGAGGGAGAGGCCGCCGGGTGGGCAGCCCGCGCCGCCGCCGCGGACACCCGTGAGTGAGGGGGGCCCGGACCCCGCAGCCCGACAGCCCCCTCCGCCCCCGCTCCCGCCTGGCCGGGCGCTCCACGCTGCCGTCGCGCCCCCGCCCCCGCCCAGGCGGCCTTTTCCTCTCCGCCCCCCCCGCCCTCGGGAACCCCCTTCCCCTCCACCCCGCGCTCCCCCGGGCGCCCAGGCCCCCCTCTCCTCGCCCCGGGGTGGCTGCTCCTGGGTGGGGTGCATTCCTCCCCGTCCACCGCCCTCGGCTCTGAACATCCTAGTGACTGGCCAGATTGTTCTTGTTCCTGCAAAACACACCTCTCATCACCACTGAGTGAATCCGAGGAGGGAGGGGAGCGCAGGCCCTGTGTTTCTGCTTTTCCCTTGTGCGGGGAGGGGGCGGTCATTAATAGGCTGTATGTCTGGCCGGCTGAAGCCTGAGGGGTGCGGAGTGGACTGTCCCCTTCTGAACCGGTCCCTGCCGGCTGTCCTCTGGCCGCTGAGCCAGAATCCACCATCTGGGCTTAAGCTCCTCATCCTCTTTAGTGTTTTTAGGGGAAACTGGGCCAAATAAAGTACCTACAGAGCAATGGCAGTGTGTGGGTTCTGGTTGATCCCGGTGAGGTGCCTGGAGGAACAGCCTGTCCGGAGGATGGACTGTGTCCTTGACTAGAAGGGGAGGGAGGGAGGGAGCAGAGCCAGGAAGGGCAGCTGGCCGGCCCTGCCCCCCCCCCCCAACCAGAACCCCGTACAGCAGGCTTCGACTTGGGGTCCAGCGGGAGGGTCTTGGGGCTGCTCAGTGTACTGATCTTTTTCTCCTCCCTCCCTCCCCTGCCCAGGAGTGGGTCCCTCATCTTAGATTTTCCGGCAGAGAAACACCCTGTAGCTTTCCCGGGCACCTGTCCCCATCCCCCTCCTAAGCGGAGGGGGAAACGGGCTTGTGTGAAGGATTAGGGAGGTTTAGGGGAGCTTTGCTGAGACTCTGGTAAGGCTGGTCGAAGGGCAGGCCTTGCGGTGGGCGGAGTGCGAGCCATTTGAAGTATGGGAAGGTGATGTCCAGGTGTCAGGTGCAGTTTCCCTTCCCTTCCCTGCCCGGGAGCCTTTCCCCATTTTCCTCGCCGGCTCTGGTTACTCGGACTTGGATTCCGAGAGGCGTGAGGGTTGGGCCCGGCTGGCACCGGCTGTCAGACTGGCGGCCTGGCGGCCGGGGGGGAGGCGCGGGGGCAGTTTATCTGGGAATTTCTTTGGCTGGGACGGGAGAGCCGGCTTCTAGCTCCTGCCCTTCCTTCCTTGGCTGTTGGGATGCTGGAGCCGAGCCCGCCGGGCGCTGAATGAAAAGGCCCCTTTCTTTCTGAACCCACTGTACCCACAGCCCCTCCAGGCGGAGACCACCGAGCCCGGGGGTACAGATTAGGCCGCCGGGGCAGGGGGTGGGAACGTGACCTTATCCATCCCAGTCCGCCGCCCTCGGCCGGGAAAAACTCCTTTGGGGCAGATCCTGAGTCCAGCGGTCACGGGAGGTGGTGCAGAGGAAGGGAGGAAAAGTCCAGACACGGGCGTGGTAGGGTGAGAGAAGAGGCGAGTAGGCCCTACGAGCAGAATTTATATAAAATGTATTAGGCTGTGGGCGGGGGATGGGGCCGCCCGCCACAGGGCGCATGTGCGTCGGAAACTTTTCCACGGTCCTCCGACCCTCGGCCAGCTCCCTCTACTGGGCATGCGTGGCTCGCCGGCCGCGGCGCCTCAGAGGACGCCGGGAGGTGTAGTGCGCAGGGAAAGTAGGTCACTCGCTTCAAACCAGAGCGTGGGGTTTGTGGGGACTACAATTCCCAGAGTGCAGAGCGCGGCTCTGCCGCCGGCCTCTGCACTTAATTGGGGTGCAGTCGAGTCTTCCCGGCTTCGAAGGAACCTGGAGCACCCTAGAAAAGGCCCTCCTAGGCGGAAGGAGCCTGACAGTCAGACTTGGGCACTGCCAGCCTGTGTTTGGGGGAGATGGTCTGAGACTCTGGGCAGGGTGACGCAGTCAGTCACCACAAGTCCTGGAACCTTTCAACCACACCCGCCCGGCGGGGGAGAGGGGGCTCCAGGACCGGTGGGTGGGTTTGCCCCCTGTGCCCCTGAGCTCAGCTCCGGCTCCCAGGCACCCAGTGTATGACACCTGCTGGCCTTGTCAAAACTGAGGACCCTTGCCCCTGACCCCTCTGTCCACACTCACTTAAATCCAGTTGTGCTTGATTGGTAAAGCTTCAGGTGCCTGAGTATTTGTATAGGTTCTCATGGTTTGGGAGCCTGGTGGGTTCCCCTGCCATCATCTCCTTTAAAACAACTTTATCTTCTTAAAATTCTTCCTTTGTATCTTTGCTAGACGTTTCCTCTGGAATCTCAATCACCATATCATTGTCTGCAGCCATCCTTTTCCCCCCATTTTTGTCCTTTTACACACTTTTCTTTAAATCACAAGTCAGTGCAGGATTAACTTTGTTGCTGAAAGTAAACTAGTGAAAGGGAATGAGATTCTAAATAGGACAGAATTTATTTTCACATTTGCAACTTTTTGGTATATTGACAAAGTGTAGATTTGCTATTGTTAAACACAGCCCTCCCGCCGCCATCCACACACCCCCTACCCCTGTTTGCCACCTTTCTGACCCTTTGCCCCTGACTCAAGGTTGGAAAAGTTCTTAGCATCCTTTCCTGCTGCTTAACCCAAATCTACTTGTTCCTTTTTTTTTAATATATATATATTTTATTGATTTTGTACAGAGAGGAAAGGAGAGAGATAGTTAGAAACATCGATGAGAGAGAGTGATCGATCAGCTGCCTCTTGCATACCTCCTACTGGGGATATGCCCGCAACCAAGGTACATGCCCTTGACCGGAATCGAACCCGGGACCTTTCAGTCCCCAAGCCGACGCTCTATCCATTGAGCCAAACTGGTTTCAGCTCTACTTGTTCCTTTTATTGAAGGGTAGTTATTTCTAAGCTTTCTAATCTCACCACATTCTATGAATATTTTATATACAAGCTATAGAATTTGTCCATTGCCTAAAAAAAAAAATGGACAAACTCATCAGAGTGGTTATTTCTATCTTTAGTTAAAGACAAGACAGCACCAGTGCCTTAATCCCATGTCCATAAGCTTCTTGAAGTCAAAATTAGAGTCTGAGCTGATAGAGCAGAAAATCTCATCCTGGTTGTCTGGCATTTTTGTAAGGTTCCACCCCACAGCCATCTGGCTTGGCCTGTTCTCCCATCAGAGGCAAAGGTGGCATTATATACACTTCCTTATTTGTGCGGCAGCATCGCCGAGGCACAAACTGGTGTGCAGCTCCAGGTGCTTATGCTGCAGAAACTGGTGAGCTGGGCAGGGCTGATGACAGTGGTTCTATTGTGTACTGAGGCGGGAGGCCTGCATTTGAAAGGCTCCCATTTTGAGGCTGACCTCTTTAGGGGAGGTTAATTTGAAAAGGCAGATATGCTCCCAAGTTAGAGAGGGCTAGAAAGGGGCAAGGGGCACACCACGAGGCTGGTGTGCCTTGAGAAGTGGCATATGCTGGGTCAGGCCTATTTTATTTTTCTGAAAACTTTGTCCTTAACTTCAGGCTCGTTCTTGGGGACCAGGACCAACTTCCGTCACAATTTTTCGTTCTCTGTGTTTGGACCCCTCCAGTGGGCTGCCACTGTGCCCTTACATGCGCTATTCTTGAGTGGAGGCCCACGTTCCTGGGGGCTAGCTTTGCATCTGGTGGTGAATCAGTCCTCACAAGCAGAAAGGCTCTTCACCTTCTGCCATGCTTCTTACTTCTCTGAAAGCTAAAAGGACCCTGGAGTCGATCTGTGAATAGACATTTGGAGCAACTTGGAGATTAAGTTTTCGTTGGAGGCTGGGATTGAGAGGAGAGAAGGGTCTCCTGAATCCTGAGCATCCCTGTGGAGGGCTTGGGAGAGACATGCTCACGGCACCTCTGCTGACGCCCGCCTGACCCTCTGCCCCCTCAGAACAGTGTGTATGATGCTCAGATTGAGCAGAGCATCTTCTCTGGAACTGCCTCAGAGAGCTGTGCTTGAGGATTCAACCCTGAAAGTGCCCCTGGGAGCCACAGCCCAGGTCTGAAAATTATAGGGGAGTGAGTTAGGGCCTAGGGCTGAAAATTACAAGGAATGTAGTAGAGGCAGATGTTCAGAAAACTCGAGATCCTCAAGCCTAGAATGAGTCTCAGCATACTCTGTGCTGGACCTAGAAGGGATTTTATCAAATCCAACTCCAGGTCGGTCACAGGACATGAGATGCCCTTGACGGGTCACGGATCATGTCCGTGAGCTGAGCTCAGCAGCGCAGGCTCACCCAGAGCTCTGGCCGGGAACACGTTCTGGCCTGGTTGGCCCTGGTCGGGTGGCCTTTTCAGTCCAGTTCACCCCCAGCCTGAGCCCGGAGCTGTCGGTTTGGAGAAAGTGAGGAGAGGAAGCTTCCTGGGCCTTCGGACCTCGCAGGTCATCTTCCTGAGACGTGAGGCTGGCCCCGGACTTGGGAAGAAACCTGTTTGACCTCTGTGCAATCTGGCTACGAGAGACTCCCAAAATAACATCTGCTTATTTATCTTGGGCTGCCTCCTCTCCAGGGATCTCCAAACACTTGATAAATCTGACCCTGTGCCAAGGACAGGTGGTCACACTGTCCCCTGGAGCCTGAGTGATGAGGGGTCCCCAGCTGGAAGCTGCAGGGCGATGGAAAATCTCTTCTCTGCCCTCCTCACTCACCCTCTAGCCCAAGCATGTCAGACATGCGGCCCGCCGGCCTTGAGTTTGACATGCTTGCTCTAGCCAGAAGCCAAAGAGATCCCCTCAGGCCACGCTAGTGCTGCTGGACTCTCCTTTCCCCTGCTGCCCCAGGGCACTGCCAGCCTCAGTGCCAGCAGTTCCGTCGTTGCCCAGGCTCTGGTTTTGACAGGTCTTGACTTTTTCCTGAGGCTCCTGCTCTCATCTCTGTTCTTGGAGGCTCTCTGGCGGCCGTGCGTGCCTGGGTCACACTGTGCGGTTCTGAAATCAGCTCTCAAATGCAGAGGGAGCCAGAGCACACACACCCAGGGAGCACAGGGCGACAAATTGATGTGACGAGGCCAAGCCCCAGTGAAACGTTGGCAGTGCTGTTTTCTTGCTCAGTGACCTGCCTCCCTTTCCACTGAAGGAGGAAAACTAAAGACTGAACTCTGGCCTATGACACCTTGGGATCACAGTTTCACCCAGATACTGCAGAGAGCGTTAGCGGAAGCCGTCTCCTCCAGCTAAATTAAGGGGTCGGATTTGTTTTTGTGGGGATTTTTTTTTTTTTTTTTTTTTTTTTTTTTTTGGTGCCAGCCATCCAGTGGTCTGAATTCTCAAAATACTGGAAACCACAGCTCCCTGCTTTTTTGGAATTATTAAAAAAAAAAAAAAAAAGCTAATTTTATCAAGTACCCACTGACAACTAGGTACCGTGTGAAGCAGTTTCCATCCTTGAACTAACCTAATCTTCATGATAACCTCATGTTGCTGCTGAAACTAAGGCTCAGAGAAGGTGACTTGCCCAGTCACACAAATTAAACTCGTCTCCGGTGGGGCAACAATGGGACCTGAAGTTGGTGTTCTTCTGTCTGTCCTTTGCCTGGTCCCTCCCCCGGCTCTCTGCACGGCCACTCATGATGCCCCCTCTTGTTTCCCAGGGCCTTCTGGAGCCCGAGGCTGCCCACCTGCCACCTGCCGCCGCTGCCCTCGGCTGGTGCCCGCGCCCTGCCCTGATTGCCGGCCTGGGAAGGCACCATGCAGCTGGAGATCAAAGTGGCCCTGAACTTCATCATCTCCTACTTGTACAACAAGCTGCCCCGGCGCCGGGCAGACCTGTTTGGGGAGGAGCTGGAGCGGCTCTTAAAGAAGAAATACGAAGGCCACTGGTACCCCGACAAGCCCCTGAAGGGCTCCGGCTTCCGCTGCGTCCACATCGGGGAGCTGGTGGACCCGGTGGTGGAGCTGGCCGCCAAGCGGAGCGGCCTGGCAGTGGAGGATGTGCGGGCCAACGTGCCCGAGGAGCTGAGTGTCTGGATCGACCCTTTCGAGGTGTCCTACCAGATCGGCGAGAAGGGGGCTGTGAAAGTGCTGTACCTGGACGACAGCGAGGGCTGCGCGGCCCCGGAGCTGGACAAAGAGATCAAGAGCAGCTTCAACCCTGACGCCCAGGTCTTTGTGCCCATCGGCAGCCAGGACAGCTCCCTGTCCAACTCCCCCTCGCCCTCCTTCGGCCAGTCTCCCAGCCCCACCTTCATTCCGCGCTCCGCCCAGCCTATCACTTTTACCACCGCCTCCTTCGCCGCCACCAAGTTCGGCTCCACCAAGATGAAGAAGGGGGGCGGGGCGGCCGGGCCGGGGGCCGTGGCCAGCGGTGGGGCCGGCGGCCAGCAGCCCCCCGCGCAGCAGCCTCGCCCGGCCCGCTCGCCCACCAGCGGCCTGCTGAAGCACAGGAGCCTCTCCCTGTCCGTGCACGCGCTGAACCTCACGGCCCCCGGCCCGGCCCCGCAGTCCCAGCTCTCGCCCAACGCCAAGGAGTTCGTGTACGGGGGCGGCTCGCCCGGCCTCTTGGACGGCGCGGACGGCCCGGCCAGCGGGGCCGGCACCGGCGGCGGCTTCGACGTGGCCCAGGTGTTCGGAGGCGGCGCCAACAGCCTCTTCCTGGAGAAGGCGCCCTTCGTGGAGGGCCTCAGCTACAACCTCAGCGCCATGCAGTACCCCAGCCCGCCCTTCCAGCCCGTCGTGCTGGCCAACTGACCGCCCCTCCCCCCGCGGGCCGGCAGCACCCGAGACCACAGAAGAGAAAAAGGAAAGGAAAGGCCAAAAAAAGAGGAAAAGAAAAATACACAAAAATGTTCCCCACCTTCTCCCTCTCACTTCTAGAGAAAAGAGGCAGCGAGGCCCGGATTGGGAGGGCGCTCCCGCAGCACCTGTCGTGTCTGACTCCACCTCCCTGCTGTTCTCCTGCCGCCTGTGATTCACTTGGTTGGTTTGGGGTTTGTTTTTCTGTTTTGTTCTTTTTTTTCCTTACATGTAGTTTTCTATATAACATCTTTAATTAGTGGCTTCCTGTGCTAAGAATGGTCCTGATGTGAATTGCTGCTCCCTCCCTCCCTCCCTCCTTCACACACCTGGTTTAGGATTGGTGTGTTCAAGCTCAAGAGCCACAGCTGGGGCCTGGCCCTCAGAACAGGGAGAGGCTGTCCCCTGTCACTGTACCCACCACCCAGCTGTCCTCGCACTCAGCCATCCGACCTCAGCAGGCCCGGCCTGCCGCCCCAATAGGTCAGACTCCGTCCCACTCCTCAGGCCTGGTCAAGGAGCTGCTGGCTGGCCAACTGAATCCTCCCCCAGAGCTGACTCCAGGGAGGTCAGCCTCTGCTGGAATTCCTTTCATCTCTGTCCTCTGGCCCCACCCCACCATTCCCACCTGGCGTCCCTATCTGCCGTGGCCCTGGAGACACAGCTGTTGACGTGTGGTCTCAGGCAGCCTCTCCCCTGGGCCTGTGAGGTGTGAGTGGGGAGGTGGGCCCGTGTGGGGGTGAGTGTGTGCATGCGTGTGCGGTGGTTTGCTGTCCTACTTTAAAGAATTCCAAGCCATGTGAACTCTCCCCCCCCATCCTGTGATTCTGGTTGTAGCAAATGCTTATTTATGTGTGAGGTGGGGGAATGGCCGGCGGGGCTCAGTCCTTTCGTAGGTGGTTCACGTGGTGTGAGACTGGCAGGGCCTGCCACTCCCCGGGAAAGCACTGCAGGAGGAACTGGCTTCCGGACTGCAGAGGGATCTGCACTTTTGTTTTTGACCAAAAAAAGGGGGGGTGCGGAGGTAGCTATGCGAGGAATACCCAGCCTCTGATGCTTGAGAGAAGTCCCTGAACCCACCTGTCATGTGACCTTAGCCCAGGGCGGGAGTTCTGGGTCAGTGCCTGTAGTGGGCAGTCCTGGCCTTTGGGGCCCTTTGGCTGTAGATGTAGTGCACTTCTGCCCCTTGCTGGTACCTCTGCCATCCTTCTCACTGCCCGACCTAACCTCCCTGGGCCTTGATGCCAGAGGGCGGGCGGCAGGCCAGGCTTAGCCCCCGAAGCTGGATGTTCGGATAGAGAAGAGCGTTTGCTCCGCCTCTGCCAGACGAGTTGTTTCTCCAACCCAGCCATCGTGGGCCAGCTGCCATGCCAGGGTGCTTTGGCAAGGGGGGCACCTGGCATCAGCCCCCATCACCAGAAAGTTCCAAAGCCCTGGGCACCCCGCCCCAGCCTCCCCAGCGACCCAAGTGGGCAACTGCTCTGGTAGTGGGTCCCGCCCCGATGGATACTGCCAGCCTTCCCCGCATGGGCACCAGCTCTACCTCCCTCCGCGGGGCAGGGCCCGGCTCCGCAGCCCGGCACCGTCTGTCCCCTTAGACTTCTCAGGGGCCAGCCCATCTGGGCACCCTCTCCCTAGCCCGTGGCTCCCACAGGTGGCAGGCCAGGCAGGGCGCTGCTCCCTGGGGAAGGCTGATGCTGCCTTATGCCCCTCCCCGCACCCTCCGCCCACACTCACGCACACAGGTACCCGCCTGGTCAGCTGTTTCCTCGCCGCACGCAGGGAGAGAGCGAGACCAACCCCAGTGTCTTGAATCCGAAGGAAAACGTGTGCTCAGGAGCATGGCTCCGGCGCTGGGCGCTCGGGCCCAGTCCAGTCTGTCTCGTCTCGAATCTAGGCATTTTTGCTTCAAAAATTTTTATTTTAAGAAAACCAACAGAAATCTGCACTAATTTACCTGGTTTGGTAGGAAAACTTTTTTTTTTTTATTTTTTACATTTTTTGGTGTCTGTTTGTATTGAATAATTTGCTACATTTGTAAAATGTAAGAGGTATATATAATATATGTATATTTCTAACGTAAAATGTAATTTTTTTCTTTTCAAGATTTTTTCTTAAAAAGAGGAGAGAAACAAAGCTATTTTTTCAGGAAAAACAAACTTTAAAATAAAAAAGAGGAGAAGAAAACCTTTTTCTCCCCTTTCCCTATCCTCTGTCGACCCCGCTTTCCGGGAACAAACCAGAAGGTGGATCATCTTGTGAAGAGTGTAAACGTTTAGTCCAGAATGATGTGTTTTCTCAATGCAGTGAGCTCTAGATTCTCCAGTTTGACCCTTAGGGGCGGGAAGGAAGGGGCATTGAGGCAGTGAGGAGAGGGCTCGGGGAGCAGGGCAATGAATTGTTTTCTTTAGTGAAGGAGGAATACAATCAGCGTTTTGTATTCAGAATGTTGTGCAATATTTTGGAATGGGACATTGGTGTGTTTAGAGATTTAGTTTAAAAACAAAACAAAAAGATTGATCAAACCTGTACAGTTTATATTGTTCCAGATTTTTTTAAGTTTGTATTAAAAGCATGATATATAATAGTCCTCTGCTTGCTCCTGGCTTGTTTTGTTTCTGGTCCCGATTTTGTTTCTGGCGACCCAGCCCCTTCAGTTTTGAGAAACAATTGCTCGTCCTCACTTGACCCCTGGGTGGGCGTAAGTGTCACAGGCTTCCTTTTTCCCACCAGCCCATCAGCCCAGGGCACCACAGGGCCCACTCCCGCGGGTCCTTTCCCACAGGGGCGACGGGTCCCAGGAGGCTGGGGAGTGCCCCAGCTCCCTCACTCGGATGGCGGAGCCGGGCCTGGAAGCAGAGCCTTGAGAACAGGATGGCGCCTGTTTGTGGCTCTGAGCAGCAGCCTCTTCTTGGAGGCCGAAGGAGGGATCTAGCATTTGCCGGCTCCAATGGCTAGACCATAGGAGTGGGCAAAGAGGAGAGCCCACCTACACCAGGTTCTGTCCCCAAGCCTGGGCTTGGACTCGCTCTTCTCCTGCTGGGTAATTCTGGAGCTGGAGCTGCTTTGGGGTGAGGGCCCATCTGAGCCTGGGACTGGGACTTGGCCACCTCCCCCTCACAGGGCCTCATTGATGCTGCCCACGGCTGGGGAGGGTACAGACAACCTTCCCAGCAGGGATTCACACCAGCCCCTCAAGGCCCCTGGGTTGAAGAGAGCTGCAGGTGTTCCTTGAATCTCACCCTCACTATCTCCACAATACCACTGAGAAGTCGGTACAAGTTAGGTTACTGGCTGAATTCACACAGCTGGGAAGTGGGGAGGCTGAGATGTTGACCTGTGTATGGCTGTTTCATGTATAAACCATAACAGCTATGGACAAGTGCCACTGGGGCAGGCGTGGAAGAGCTGACTGCAGCCTCTGGGCTGGACATTGAGCAAGCAGCACCGGGCATCCGAGAGATGGGTCTCCTCACGCCTCCTCTCCAGACAGGCACATCCTGGTCCCTCCCTCCCCAAGCACGTGACTTGGGCCTAGAACCCCTCAGGCCAAACACACAACCTCTGCACAGGGTCCAGCCCTCCATGGGCCGGTCTGCTACAGTGTGTCAAACAGAGGGAGGCCCTGGTCCAGGGTGCCTGTCAGACCTAAGGCCACTCTCAGGGGTCTCACTTTCTCTGTCCTACCAGGGAGAAGTCCAGCCTGTGTCCAGGCTGCTGGCCCATCTGTGGGCCCCAGGGCCCCTTGCACGCATTCCTGTTTATCTATATATATAAAAGCCCAGCAACTGGGATAGCGGGATGACCAGAACAACCAGTGGCTATGATGCGCACTGTGGTAGTCAATCAGCCTGATTTGGGCCCTGATTAGTGCCCCTACCCACCAGCTGTCCCAGCCCCAAGTGGACCCCCAACACCCCAATTTGGGGCGGGGCCAGCTGGCCAACCACCAAGGTCCCTCCCCACACTGGCCAGGCCTGATGGGCCCCCATCCATTAGGATGGGCCAGCTGGACCCCACCCAGGCCTCATGTTAACATAAATAAAGCACCTAGCATAAGTGCTTTATCTGCCCTGGAAGCACAGGTGGGACAGCAGTTACAGGACAGGTGTGCACAGGGGGCCTGAGAGTCCAGGATCGGGAGGTGAAGGAAGAGTCGGAGTTGGCCGAGAAGGAGAAAGCAAGGCCAAGGCCCCTGACCACCACCCCCACCCCCTCCCCTCCCCGCAAGGAACCTGTCGGGAGGATGCCCTGCAGGGGAGCGTGCGAACTCTGCTTTCTCAGAAGACTCGGGTCTGAGTCTCACCCTGACGCTCCCTAGCTGGGTGGACCTCAAGCAAACCACTTCACCCACTCTGCCGCCTCATTCCTTCCACCTCTACAATGGGGGTGATCACTGTGATTTAATTTCCTTGTGGAATTAAGTGGAATAATAAATGTGGAATGCTGAGCACAGCGGCTGGCCCAGAGTAAACAAGTAGCATTTCCATCATCAGGGTCGTCATTGTCCATCTGCAAATGCCAATGGCCAGCCCAGGCCTGGCATGTCCTCGCCTCAACAGACAGGCCACAACCCAACCTGCCAGCGGAAGCCCAGGCTGGCGGCAGAGAAAGCCGTTCTCTGCCCTGCCGGACAGCGCCCTGGAGAGAGTGCTGGTCTCTGCTCCACTCTCCTCCCTCCAGGGCCCTCCATGTGAGTCCCTAAAGCTCCCGGGAGTCCCCTGGGGAGGCAGATGGGCGGGTGGGTGAGTCATGGGGCAGGAGAGCCCTGCTCCGTCCCCCGCTGTCTGCTGCCTCAGTGCCCGCCCTAAGCCAAGGGGTGCCACTGTCTGCTCTCCACCGCTGCCATCCTCCCCCGAGTGACTCAGTGGGTGGAGGGCACACTCACCTCCCTCCTCCTGTCCCGGGGCCTGGCTAGTTTGGCCAAGTCCCGCCAGGGCGGGGCTAAGGACAGGCTGGGACCAGCCAGGAAGTCTCCGAGTCCCTGGGCAAGAGGCACCTGCTGATCTGCTGGTTTTTCATTTAGACAATTTCACTGCCAGCC